GGGGCCCTTGGTTGGGCAAGAAATTACAAGAACATAACATAGAAGAGGATGGGCCCAGAATAAGGCCCATTACAGAAAGGAACATAAACAGTAAGAAAGAATAACAGCCTATGGGCCATTCGGCCCATCTTCTCTACACTCCCCCTCAAGTTGAGCATAGATGTCAATCATGCCAAGCTTTCCAGTGTCATGCTGAAGCTATGCCTTGGGAATGCCCTTGGTGAGAAAATCTGCTAACTATCCTTCAGATGTGATGAAAGGAAGACACACTTCACCCGAAGAAACCCTTTCTCGAAAAAAGTGTCTATCAACTTCAATATGCTTAGTTCTATCATGTTGCACTAGGTTGTGGGCAATGTTGATGGCGGCCTGATTATCATAGTACAACATCATTGGCTTGTCATTCTCAACCCCAAGTTCCTCCATCAATGATTTTAGCCATAACAGTTCAGAAACTCCATGTGCCATGGCCCTGTATTCTGCTTCTGCTGAAGATCGAGCAACAACCGATTGTTTCTTGCTTCTCCAAGAAACAACATTACCAGCCACCAAGCTGCAATACCCAAAAGTAGATATTCTGTCATCAATGTTTCCAGCCCAGTCAGCATCAGTATAGGCTACAAGTTTCATATGACCATGCTTGGCAAACAAAATTCCCTTTCCTGGAGAGCCCTTCAAATAACACAGAATTCGCTCTGCTACTGCCATATGAGTGTCTTGGGGAGCATGCATGAATTGGCTAATACAACTGACAGCATATGCAATATCTGGCCGAGTCATGCATAGGTACAGGAGTTTCCCAAGAAGTCTCTGGAAGACTCCTTTGTCTTCTAACAATGTTCCATCTGAAGCATAAAGTTTATGACTCATATCAATAGGAGTAACAACTGGTCTAGCACCCATCTTCCCAGTTTCAGAGAGCAAGTCAAGAACATACTTCCTTTGGGAGATAAGAATCCCATCCTTGGATCTAACAACTTCTATGCCAAGGAAGTATCTCAATTCCCCCAGGTCTTTAATTTCAAACTCTGTGTGGAGGAAAGATTTGAGAGCATGAATTCCTGAAACATCATTACCAGTCACAACAATATCATCTACATACACAATGAGGTATACTGCCAGAGGTCCACTCCTCTTCACAAAAAGAGTATGATCAGACTGTGTCTAAACATAGCCAAAGTTAACAAGTGCTGTTCTAAATCTCTCAAACCATGCTCTAGGG